AGGGTCAAGTGGGATTCAGTGTGACAATGTAATGGGGAGGATAGTAAAAGAATTATGAGGATGACTTTATCCTGGCCAGAGACTTTTTTTTTTTAAATGTGGATTTCATCAGGAATTAGACTCATAGCTTTAAGAAGGCTTTCAACAGGGTGGGTTTCTGGGTCAATTGGGGGGTGAGATATTATTTGGTGAACTCTGTTCAGGGTCCAGCACAGGATGGTGATCACTTTCAATAGCCTTTTTACTCTGCCTCAGAGGTGTTTAAGTGTCCCTAAACCTCTAACTAGCAGAAGCTGGGATTGGACAGCAAGGGATGGATCACTCAAAATTGCTCTTTTCTGTTCATTCCCTCTGAATCAATTGGCACTGGCTGCTGTCAGAGACAGGACAGTGGTTTAGATGGACCATTGGTCTGACCCAGAATGGCCGTTCTTATATGCTGGTGTCCAGCAGCATTCCTTCAGTGACCACCGTAGACAACCCAAGAGGGTGGCAATTCTGTCAGATGCTGAGAGCTACGGAAGTTTGTAAAAATGGAACTTAATTACAAGGCCTTTAAATCCTTGGTCCCTTTGTTTGTGAGTAAAGGAAAACAAGGTAGGAGAAGATTTAAATCTCCTAGAAATCTAGATTGAAATATCTAATCTTAGTGCCATTTGTTTTGCTTTTTATTACTTGGGCGGATATAATGAAAGATAAACACTGCATTCAATAATATGAAACAAAGAATGCTAAGTTAGTGGCTAAGCATTGAAAAAACATAGTATTTTAAGAAGAACACAGAGCCTTTCATGTATAACAAACTCGTCTAGATGACAAACGTTGGCCAATTCTGACACAGCTAGCTTCTGCTGGCTAGTCAGTGCATCATGATCTGAAGGTGGATAGTTGAGGAGGTTGTGCAGCTCTGCTTTTCACATCCCACCTAAAAATCTAGGGATTCTACTACTCTAGAGCTAGAGCTGATAGACATACTATTTAGTATGAGAGCTGAGGTAAGTTTATGTTGGACTAATGGTGTAGTCCAACTATCCTAGCACTGCAAATTCCCTGAGAGGATGAAGTTCTTCACTACTTCAGCAAGGGAGCCTCTAGATGCTCAGTGACTAATGATATAGGTGGGTCTTCCGAGTTGGCTGAGGATTTTATATCCATCGCTGTGACAATGGGATTGGTTTAGGTGGCTCACCCTTAGGCTCAAGTAGGGATCTAATTTTTTGTTGTTTTTTTTGTTGTTAAGATTAGCCATTGAAGGGCTAGATATTACAGCTATTCCATAGAGCAAATGAGATTGGGGTTCACTGCTCTTGTCAGGGCAAGTGATCCATTTTGGTGGTCCACCCCGACAGACTAATAGCGGTCTCCATTCTATTGGAAATGACAATCTCTCCCAACGCAAGGGAATTTCATGATACTTTTCTGGTAACACCTTTGGACCACTTATCTGCATCCGTGGATGGGAAGGGGCAAATGGCCAGCATTCTCTGGAAGCCAGTGGGGGAAGTATTGAGTCCTTTACTAGTGGACATGCTCATTCCCTTTTTGGGAAGCACATGTGCAGTTTATACTTTAAAAAAATTAACATTATCTTCCCAGTCATGTATAATCTTCTTGCTTAAGTTTGTAGAAGATGCGTCAACTCACGGTATCTTGATTCCTTGGACTTTGACTTGTGTCAATCTTGATTTGGGTATGGCACAGAGTATGATCAGAAGGACCAATGATCTCCTCTGGGAAGTGGATAAAGACCAGGTGTCCATGCTGATATTAGATTTATCATCACCTTCAATTCCACTAACCCTGAAGTTATCAAATCACTTGCAGATCTTCATGGGACTGGAAGGTGCTGCCTGTTACTGGTTTCACTCTTTCCTCTTAAAGAGAACCCAGAGGGTAATAGCTCTTTTGCCTCATGAGCTTTAATGTACAGGTCCTGGAAAGTATCAGAGGGGTAGCCGTGTGAGTCTGGATCTGTAAAAGCAGCAAAGAGTCCTGTGGCACCTTATAGACTAACAGACGTATTGGAGCATGAGCTTTCGTGGGTGAATACCCACTTTGTCAATGCATCCGATGAAGTGGGTATTCACTCACGAAAGCTCATGCTCCAATACGTCTGTTAGTCTATAAGGTGCCACAGGACTCTTTCCTGCTTTTACAGGTTCTGGAAAGTTTCTTCTACGCCACACCTCTTGTTCAGTGTTTGAGGTCTTTTAGGAAGCCTACTGAGGAAATTTGGGCCAAGGCGCTCAATATGCTGATGATGCCAGCTCTTCATTTCCATCTCATCCAATCTGGAGTGCAATTAGAGCACCTCTTTCAGTGCTTGGATGAGTCTGAGGCTCAATCCAAATAAAACTGAGAAACGTTGGGGTAAATATCCAGCAGCTACAGTAATAGTTGTGTGCACCTTTGAGACTGAAAATATGCATGTCCATCATTTGTTTCCCATAAATGCAACTTGGGGGTTTTGTTGGCTTTACACTTGTTCATGGATGGAATGGAAGCTGCAACCAGGTCTATGTTTTACCATCTGCATCTGAACAGAAAGTTGCAACCACTTATCTCAAATGCCATCATAATCCACACCTCTGTCACCTATGACTTCTCCAATATACATACATAGGCTACTCCTTAAAACTATATGGAAAAATGAAGCTAGTCCAGAATGCAGCCACCCACATGTTAAGGGGTGTATCTTTGCCCAAGCACCTGAAACTTTTTTTACACTAACTACATTGGCTTCCAGATACAGTTTAAGGTGTTGATTTTGACCTATAAGGCCCTAAATGGGGAAGGCGGGAGGGGATAGGCAGACCACACAATACTTCCACAATTATGGTCAGCAGAAAAGTATGAGCTGGTGCTCCCTTTGAAAGAAGGGGAGCTTGTGACAGGACATTCTATGTGAAAGCTCAAGTTTTGAAATCCACTCTCCCCTTCAACTTACAATAGCTCACATATAACAAGCCTTAGGGGGGTGCTGTAAAACCTGTGTTTTTGGTTGAGGTACTGAGAAGGATGAGGTCTATGGAGCAAAGAGGTCCATGAAGAGTTAGGGACATGATTAGTTGTGTTACCTTCGCTGGAGAAGGGTTGGGTTACATGTGTAGTGATGTTATTTTTTCTCTATTTTCTATCACGGATTACTAAAAAAAAAAAAAAAACCACTCAGGGCACCTACAGCCTGGGATAGGTATCTTCTGTATACTTTAAACTGTATCATTAATATAAATAACAGTTATATTAAGATTTACATCCAAATCATTTATAAAATCAAACAAAGTAAAGACTTAATATCCTAGCTACAGCATCATTTAAGTTGCATGATGACTAGACACTACTTTCCAGTTACTTTCTAGTAAGACGGCACCATGCCTTGAACAGTGTGAAAGCCAGTGTCTTTGAAGTGGACTGCTGTCACTTTCCATTCTTTCATAATGTGATTTAACCACCTGCCCAAAGGTCATTATTCTTCCTCACCTCTGCTCTCCCAGTTGAGGTAAGGTATATACAACTAGTTTCCCCTCTTCTTCCTTCCCTAAAAAAACAGGGAACTGGTTTCATATTTCTAGAGCACATGTTGCCAAGAAACAAGCAAGGTAATTTTGCCTATTTTAAAACCTGCATAAATATGCATTAGACCTAAATTGGATAAGTCAAATATTGATATTTTAGGGTACAACAAAATGAGATTACATCACCTTTACATTAATTGAATCCCTGCTTTTCAAGTACCATGCCAACAAAACAAATTCCTCCAAGGATGACAATCCGACTAGTAACTGACTGCATACATTTTCTGGATCTCATCTGCTTTTCAGGCTATATTGGGTACCTTATCAGTACAATCAAGGCATACATTATATTAACAGATATAGATGAGCAGAACATATACAGAAAAGAAAAGAAAATTAATGGAGATACAGATGCAAAGGTTGTGCCAGCTCATTAACAGGGCTCCAAAGTTTTACTTGACACCTACTAGCTGGCACGGATACCAAGGATGGGTCACAACAGGAACTCCCGTGGAGTATCCATCTGGTATTAATCCTACCATAGCAGCTTTCAATATCTGGCTAGTAGATATTGGAACAGCAAGGAAGTCATTCAGTCTGCCGCCTAACTCACCTCTGGCTCTGCTCCCTTCACAATCAGGCTCTCATGCAAGCAAGGTGCTTCATCACCTCCCATCTCAGTCAACTGTTTCCTCTCCATTCCCTAAAAGTAAAAACCTGGTCATTTCTCACTAACTATTGCAACTACCTACCTCATGCATTCCTGTCTCTTACATCCACCTGCTCCAGCATATCCAAACAGTTAGCTGCCTCTCTAGCTGTTCTGATGTTATATGCCGCTGCATAGTTTTCACTATACTTCTACATTATGTTCAATTCTTTATCTTTGAGGTTCTGTACAATACCACCCCCACTTCTCTTCTCTCATCTGTCTACACCCCTTCTCATTTCCTAATCCATTACCTCTCAAATGACTCCGTGTCTCCTCCTATTCTCATCATTACATTCTCCTTCAAATCTGCCTCCAGCAACAATTAGTAGACTTGTTTATATGGCAGCTGGACATATTGTTCTGTACTGTACTTTACTGCTCATATTAAAAATTTTTGCTGCTACCTTTTAAACATTTTTGTATCTTTTCTTCTTGATTGTATAGTTCAGCAAAACAAAGTTAGTTCAGAAATACTACAACATTGTGATGAGGCTGATATTGCAGGCTTACAAATCAGCATTAACATTTCCCTTTTATAGAAAAAAAATGAAGTAAAATTCACGCACTCAGGAACACAATCTGGTATTAAGACTAAAACTATTGAATGCAGAATGCATAGCTAGACAGATAATGTCACTGACATCCAGGATCCTTTTCCAAATGTTAATTCTGCAATAAACAATCCACTATTCCCCTGTAATTTGCAGATGGTGATACAAGTTATCATTTGAAAAATAATAAATACAATGTTTTAGGAACACAGCAAAGGATACATGGCAAAAGCCAAAACAAGCAGACACCAGACAATGCTGATATTCATTTCCTGTGAGGGCTTCATCAAACTGTAGTAGGCTTCAGTTACCAAGTACACCACTGTAGCTGCAACTGTGAAATCCACCAACCACTGATATTCAGGAAAATAATGCAATGCTGAAAAATAAAGGTTTTCAGGAACCAAAAGCATAAGTGAAATTTTTTCAGGCAAGCAATGACAAAATGAAAGAGGAACCACATGATTAAAAGAAAATATATTTAAAGTCTTTACAACTGCTGCTTCTTGATGTCCAGGCAAATCTAAGATATTCAAGTAGCAGCAGCAGCAAAACAGTGCTTTTGCTCTTTGGTACTTGGTAATTTATCCAGGCCTTTTTCACTTCTGGACCAGATTATTGTAACACAAAGTACACAGGGTTAACACATGAATTCCATTCAAAGACCTCATCTAATGCAGAAAGTTCAAATATTATGAAGTATTATTTAGTATTCAGGTTTTATGCACTGCTTGGTGATGCTTTTTGAAAGGAGAGTCCTGCACTTAAATTCCAAAATATGAGATGACTTGCAATTTATTTCCAGCTGCAATGCAAGACAAAGTGCCAAATAGTTTGAGTTCTATCTACATTAAATTTTGTCATCTGAGTGCTTAACCTGTAATGTATGCTTAACATTTTGTGTGGAATTGCCCCCCCCCCCCCCCGCCTTCTAAAAATCCAAAGATTTTTCTTCTTCAGGATTTTGATGGTCTCTGTTGGCTAGAAACCACTGGTATGCCATGCCTCCTGCATATTAGGTGGTTTGCACGGAGAAAACTTCTCTCCTGTCAACTTTAGCAACTGCATCAAAGTGAAGCTCCTAATTCTAAAATGTAAGAAATGCACACTAAACCTTCCCAACCTTTTCACACCTTACAACTTCAGAGACTAAGTCAAAGGCTTCTGGCAAAGCACTTGTTTTAATTTAACTGTAATCAAAACAACTAAATTGGTTGTTGTTATTTCAATGCATTATAACTTAATCCTTTTTTTAAATGATACAGTCTAAGGTCTGCTAATCATCTTTTTCTAGCAGAGCTTTGCTTTGCTGTCAGGAAGGCTCTTTAGAGTAATAGTCATCTTATTTTGTACTTATTGACATTTGTAAATTCTTTCCTTGCTCACAAGCTAGTTTCAAACATTGTGTCTTTCTGTTTTTGATTAAACATTTTAATCATTGTAATGGCCAACTTAAGCTCTGTGGGGGTTCTCCTTCTCAACACAACATATCCCTATTAATAATAGCTATGTGTCATGGTCCTGTTATTTTACGGACACAACCTCCATCCCAGGAACTTAAGTTATTTGCATCTGCTTGTTTCTCTAGCATCTCCTTGTGGTTTCTAAATATTTTACTTTAGGATGTCAGATATCTATCGGAGATGTTTAGGTTTCCCCATCACCACAGTGCCCATGTACTTCTAGTGTTTTTATCTGTAAAGAAAGTTTATTTTCCACATCCACCAATCATCTCATCTTCCTACACTAGCATACGACCATATATTGTCACGTTTTCAAGTACACGGTGTATGATCTGATCCTTTCCAGTGTCCTCTTACATTGCTAGAGATGTCTGTTGTAGCAATATATATCTGCTATGCTGGATTTCTCTCATCCATTCTTCTCTTTAATGCAGATATTAAGATATCAAGCAAAGAACAAGAGAAGAGTTTTGCTTCTTGCTTTTCAGCTAATTTCCTTCTTTGTAAGGAGTTGTGTTTTTACTCTCATTAGCCATAAAAATATTCCAGTATATATCACAAATAATATGTACTTGATGGAAAAGAACATATTGTAATCACAGAATATATTTGGGATAACATTCAACCAATTACAAAAATTTATCTTACCTAAAGTGTCCACTTCAGTAACTGACTTTGTTTCCAGATGAAGATCAATATCCTTAGGAATGGTTAGGGGTTTATTTTCAATATGACCGTTATATTTTCTGTAAAAGCCATGCACACAACTAATCAAAAATCTATTCACTAGTATAACATTACCTTGATTTCCATAGTAAGCTCTTTAAAAGTTGTTACATGCTGAATATTTTTCATATTTGCAGTTTTTATATATAAAAATGTAATTTGAGTTAAATTCTACACACATCAAGATAATAACTGAGACGAATGTATTTATTAGCTTTACCATGTCAAAGTTTGAAATACTGTTGATTGTACTTGCGCGTCTAAATTACCAAGGAATGTCAATCTGAGGCTTTGAAGCTGAGACTCAGGCATCTCAGCTGGAGACTGACAGAAAGCAATGTTAAACTCACGCGGAGAGAATACCACTTGTCATCAGCTGAAGTTTGTAAGTTGCTGAGAAATATTTACTGGAATTAATTATCAGTTATCCAGCTTTGAAGATAACTGGTGTTGTTGGAAGAGAGGGTGGATCAGCAGCACAGGACATAATGAGGGGCTCTAGCTCATTAAGAGGAAACATTTTGTTTCAACAGTCTGTATGTATTTTGTTCAGATATTAATAAACACTGACTGGGACCATAGCTCTCTGCAATCTTGAAGCCTGAGAGGGTATGTCTACACTGCAAACAAAACCTTGCAGCAGCAAATCTCAGAGCCCAGGTCTACAGCGCTAAAAACAGCAGTGTAGATGTTCCTGCTCAAGCTGGAGTTCAGGCTGGCCCTCCGAGCCTCAGTGGGAATGTCTGCCCTGCTATTTTTAGCGCCATAACACAAGCTTGAGTCTATAGACCCAGGCTCTGAGACTCGCTGCCCTGGGTTTTATTTTTTCCCCGCAACGTAGACATACCCCTCCCTTACAGTACCACAGCCTGTTATGCTGCAATAGTTGGCAAGTACAATCCAGCTCAGGGATCTCAAACTCACGGCCCACGGGCCATCTACGGCCTACGAACCTCCTCAATGTGGCCCGCGGGGCTCCAGCAGTTTTGGGGCCGGGTCTCTCCCTTGGCCCTACCTGCTGCCACCGGGCGCTTCCCCACCCCCAGGCGATTTACAATGGCCCGGGGTCCCAGCAGCACAGCGGAGCTGAGCAGTGTCTCCCTGCTCGCTCCACGTGTCTGCCAGCCCCTCCCTGCAGCCCCAGATGGGGCTGTGCCTCCACGTGCTGCCCCCACCCTGAGTGCCCCTGCAGCCAATGGGAAGCTGCAGGGGGGAGTGCCCCAGCCCGCCCCGCCTTGGAACCCCAGGTAAGCGCTGCACCCCCCCCCGACCCCCTCTCAGAGCCTGCACCCTGTCCCCACACACCCCCCAGCCCCCAAACTCCCTCCCAGAGCCCACACCCCTTCCCTCCCTCCCAGAGCCCGCACCCACTCCCCATCCCACACACCCCCTCCTGCCCCCAAACTCCCTCCCCCTTCCTCCTGCACCCCCACCACCTGCCCCAGCCCAGAGCCTGCACCCAGCACCCAAACTCCCTCCCAGAGCCCAACCTCTCATCCCTTCTTCACCCAAACTCTCTCCCAGAGCCCGAACGCCAAACCTCCTCCCCCGCCCCCCAAGCTCCCTCCCAGAGCCTTAGGCAGGTGGATGGTGGAGTTTTTTTGGGTGGCAGAGTTTTGGAGGGTGGGTTCTGGGCGGCATGAGTGATATTATTGGCCCTCTGGGAGGATTGGAGGACTGGAACTGGCCCTAAGGTAAACTGAGTTTGAGACCCCTGATCCAGCTGATCAGATGATGTAGATCCCTGCCACACCAGTTCTCCTGTTAACCACCAAATAAAAACAAGTTTAAGACATTTCTCTACTCCTCTAAACAACTGTTCTACACCCAGAGTCATACATGCAGCCACATTTATTGGTTATATATTCATATGTTCTGATGAATATTATAAGGTTGGTGTGACTTTCATAAGTTATACAGTATATTAATTTTATTAGTGTGGAAATAAGATAGGCACAGTGTCAAATTTCAAATGGTGACCGCAAGATGTTTTTTCCATGTTTCAAAAAAGTTGTGTGACCAGGTGAATTATATTACTGATTGCTACTAAATTTAGTAGCAATTTTTATATAGAAAAAAAAACTGAAGCTTGTACATATGCACATAATGGTGTATTATATTTCCTGTCAGAGCTGAAATTGCATGACGACTTCTAAATGAGAGAAATATGCAGGCTGTAGATGGTAAAAGGTACTTCAGGTTGAGAAATACTACTAATGATTGGACAGGAGATGGGTATTGCGTGACTTAGCTGCTTCTTGTCTTGCTTTTTATGGTTTGCATTGGTGGGATATACAGTTCAGCAATATTAACTCAAACCTTGAAAGTTTTGGTGTAGGAATTTTATAGATTACTAGTAAGTCTGTATCAATGATTGATCGGTATTCATATGAATACCTATCAATATTGATATATTACTAGTTTATACATTTAGTTATTTTTGCTCTAATTTGTTATAACAAAATGAGAGAAAGACTTATTGATGACAGAAGTTTAAACATTAGAGCTGTAAAAGTTGAAGGAAACATTGCATAAATTGTTAATCTTTATTTTCAAACTTCTGCGCGAACAACAGATTTTCAAGTTGAATGTCAACACAAGTCAGAAGGTTAAGCTAAGCAATAATACAGAAAGACAGCTTTGACATCTGGTGAATAGACCACAGATGTAGTTTGTGAATGATTACAAGACACACCTCTAACTTGATATAACCCTGTCCTCAGGAGCCAAAAAAATCTTACCGCGTTATAGGTGAAACCGCGTTATATCGAACTTGCTTTGATCCGCCGGAGTGCGCAGCCCCGCCCCCGGAGCACTGCTTTACCGCGTTATATCCGAATTCGTGTTATATCAGGGTAGAGGTATAATAGCTCTCGTAACAAAACGAGTTTCCTTTTAATTACTAGAGAATATCTCAATCTCCAAATTCAGTACACAGTTGCAGCAAACAAAGTAAACAGGACGTTGAAATGCAACAAGAAATTTGAGACTGATACTATGAGGAAAAGCTGTGTTGATAGAATTCCTTTTAAAAAATAATTCACATTTGAGCTTTTTTTAAACTAAAGACTGAACCAAACACTTTCAAAGTTCATTAAAAATAAATTTCAAGTAGGTTAAAAATAGAAGTAGAGGGCAAATGGCAGCACATCTTGCACTCAAGCAATGCCCTACACATTATATTACAAAATTATAGCCTGGCATGGAATAGAATGTCTTGGCAAAATCAGGTGGCAAATAAGTCATTGCACGCAGTATGTTAAGTGCTTAAGATTATTAAATAAAACATTTACCTATCTTTTTTGCTTTTCCCCCTTTGTTGCTTCCCTGCAAGAATTCGTAATTCTTCTTCAGTGGGATGTTGATACCATCGTAAACTAAAACAGAAATTTTAAGTTAAAACACAAAACAAAGAAGAGCAATTAAACTCTCATATTTAAGAGAGAGTTACAAGTTACAGATTAAAGCATCTGCTTCTTGCTGCTTTTCAAGGAAATATTTTACCTCTGTGTTGGGGAGAGGGGGAGTGGCAGGAAACTGAACCCTGAAACAGTTAGGGCTAAACCTTCATTTCTTTTTGAGGGGAACAGAAAAAACTTTCCAAACAAACACAAGTACTTAAGTTGCTCAGATCCTAAGTTAGTAAGAGAATGCATTGACAGTCTTAAATTTTACAAGAAAAGCTCCCTTACACATTAAAACACTGAACTGGTTTAAATTGAAATTACAAATACAGCAATCAAGGCCTCATCTAAATGGAGGAAATAAGAATAACTATGACAGTCATTACTCTGGAATAACTCCCCTATGTGGACACTATTTTGAAATGAGTAATTATTCCAGAATGAAGTCACTTTTACTCCAGACTAAATTGTCCACATGTGGGAGTTGCGCTGGAACAGCTATTGCAGGAAGTATGGAGAAGATGGAGCTGGCCAAATCCTTATGTGGCCCTATCTTCTACGCCAGATAGGATGTAACTGCCTAGAGCTCTGGGTCCTTCAGTTCCAAAAACAAGAAAGTTTACACAAGAGTTCCTTCTCAGTCAGGTGGTGGTCTGATACATCAGCCACATTTTCATTCTGAAATGTTGAGGCTGGGGGGGGGGGGGGGGTAGGG